ATTATCCAGTAGGACCTAAATTGAGTGACCGGCTTTCTTGTCATGAAACAAAGAAGAAAAGGCACAGGCAGAAGGCTAAGTAATGAATGACAGAGGCAGAGATGGCAGTGATGCTGTCACAGGCAAGGAATGCCTAGAGCCACCAGAAGCTGGAAAAGGCAAGGAAAGATTCTCTCTTAGAGCCTTCAGAAGGAATATGGCTCTGCTGACACTTTGATTTTGGATTTCTGTCTTCTAGAACAGTGAAAGTTTAAATTTCTGTTGTTTTAAGCCACTAAGTTTGTGATATTTTGTTATGGCAGCCTAGAAAACTAATAAAGACTAGTATCATTATTCCCATATGGCTGGGTCTACTGTAGTGGAATAAATTTTATTACAACAACCACTGGGTTCTAGGATAATGGTAACCTTGAATTGATTCTTTTTTTCTTAAGGGATTTATGATTTAAGCACATTCTCTTCTACACTGATAGACCCAGCGATAATTGCTGCCCATTTAGTGAAGTGAAAAGGCTGGAGGGAAGTTACAGAATTCCCAAAGGTCTGTGCAGGAATTGTTCTGGCGGGAAGAGCATGGCCCACCATGCCCTTCACTGTACTTAGCCTAGTGATGTTCATGGCACAGCCAAAACCAGCACCCCCAAAGACATGGATGCAGCTATAGCCCCACTCTCTCAGAGGTGGGAGGATGCCTGATGTCAGCTTGTCCTTAAGTGGGGCGATCTTATGGGCTTTCACTTCTGTCTGGCATTATGTCCATTTTGGCTCCTTTTTCAAATTAGTCTTTGCTTCCACCGCTCATGTGAGGGATCCGTGATGAATGTGAACAAATTCAGTGTTAATCATGGCCCATTTCAATAATAACCCTCTAAAAATAGATTGAACTTAATATAAAGCATTCATGGATCTAAAAACACTTGACTATAGCTTTAAGGTTGAAGCATTAACTTCAGATTCAGACAGACCTAGAATGGAATCCTAACCCAACCATTTAATAGCTATTATGGATATGGATCTTTAAGCAGGTTACTCAACCTGCCTGAGTGTCAATGTCCTCACTTACAAAATTGAATATCACTTCATAGGGTTACAGTGACAATTAAAAGAGAGATATAATGGGTTTATCCTGGTTAATGGCATATAGGAAGTAGTGAGAGATAGCTATAATTATTATGCAATGTCATAACATTTCAACACACTTTTGACTTTCTTTCACTGCTTTACCTCACTCCAGGTTCTAAGACTTTCCCTTTTTCTTAAAATTTAGGTGAACAAAAAGTGAGTATTGTAGGGTTAATTTTAGCCTCTCCTATGAGCTATTGATTAAATGTTTCTTTGTGGCCCCAAATTAACATTTAATTTGAATGCTTATCCCACTGCTGTTTTATTTTTCCTTCACAGGAAATGTCAAGTAGGTTGGATGTGCAATACTACTGACTAGGGATATTGAACATGTGAGCATTTTAATGGCAGCGGGTTTTCTTTTAAAAAAACAAACTGAGCATATGGGATTATTAAATTATTGATGATGTTTTTGCTGCAATGGATTTATAAATAATGCATGTTTAAAGAGTTATTACATCTACATTTCTTTAGGGACAAGTGAAGAGTCTGAGTTTAAAGAGAACTGACAGTTGAAGAAAGGTCAACAAAATGTTCATTCATGCAGTTTCTGTGCCAAAAACTCCTCGAACTTCAAATAAAAACTATTTTATGTAACCATACCAAATAGTCTCCCTTATTTTTAAAGCATAATGAGGTAATGTATTTAATTGAGCAACTATGGTGGGGAGAAGCTTGAAATAATATTAATGATAAAATTTTCAGGTTAAACAGTATCACTTTTTTTTTTTTCCTTAGAAAATCTCCAAATCGAAGTTAGCTTCTATGGATAAAAACAAAAGAGGAACCCAACATTTATTCTCTGAAACCTATCAAATTCCTGACACATTAGGTCTTTAGAATAAGGCTTTTTAAATACATTCAAAAAGGGACGACATGAAATGACTGGGAAAAAACACTGGGAAAACTATGAAACCAGGTATGGTCATCTTCCACCAGGGTTGTCCTCCATGAGTCTGGGAACACCCAGGAATTTTAGGTCAAGTTTTGTTTGACATGCATATGGGTATGGGGGAGAAGCATTAGATCCATAGTTTCCATCCGATTTATGACCTTGAGAAAAGTTACGATCCACTGCTGCTTCCTTTTTCCTTTGTTATTGGCTAAGAGGAATGAGGGAGGAAAGGGATGGGGGTAAAGGATGGGAAGAAGAAACCGAAACTCTTCCTGCATTAATTAACCTCTCACCTCCCTTCAACCTTTCCACCTCCATAAACCATAGGCAGCATTCTAAATTTCGACTGATATAACAATACAGCTAAACAAAAACTAATTGCTAGAATATGAACATGGAACAGTAGTATCCAGCAACGTCAGGAAAAAACAAATGTCTTAATTTATTTAAATTTAAAAAAGTATTTTGATTTTTTGAAAATGTGCTTATTTTTCTCTGTATATTTGGTTTTAATGTCTATCTCTGCAATTTTCAAAAAGGGTTTGAAGCAAGATGTAAACCAATAATTCAATTATAAAACTCAAATGATGACAGGATAGTTTAAATATTTTCTTTGAATGAGAGAATGTATTTACAAGCATTTGAAATATATCTTTCCTATAAGTTCAGGCCTTGAGAATTACTTCATTGTGTTACCCATTCGTAATGGTAAGAGACTAAGTGAAAATTACATGAAAAATTGGATAGGGAGAGATTAAATGATTTATGTTACTGAATTTAATCGTATTTTTCTCATGAGGACAGGGCTGAGGAAGCTTAAGTAACTTCCCCAGTGTCCTCCAAGGGAGTATCAGGGCCAGAATCCAAATCTAGGTCTTTCTGACTCCAAAGTGCATGTCCTTTCCTCGGTTCTTCGCCCCTGGTGAGGCTCCTCTGTGGCCTCCCTTCATAAAGTCACTCTCCTCTCCTACTCTGTACCTTGGCACCCTGGGATAGATTTAGCATGTTCCTGGAAAAAAGCAGGGCTGATTTTGAGCACCTTCCAGAGAATCCCTCCTCTAGAGTAGTTCTTTAAGCTGACAGGTGATGACCGTAGAGAAAGATTATTGGATAAAACAGAAGACAGGAAACAGCAGTTTTCTTGAAAGACGGCAGTGCGTATCTATTAGAAAGTATGAAGAACAAAGCAGGGAAAGCCTGAGCAATAGAAACGGTTGAGGGTGGTCTGGTGTCTTGAAAAGCAGTCAACTTGATTAAGGCTTTACCCTAAAAACTCGTAGGCATTACCCCATTTTGGGATGTGAGGTGACATTTTATCTATCATGGTAAGGTATCGTCCAGACTTTATCATGTTAGGTTCTATCCAACCTTCACAGGACACTTCAGCCAAAAACAAAAGCCCATCTGCTAAGAAGATAACTGATGTAATATCTTAAGATGACATATTTGAAGTACCCAGCCCAGTGCTTTGTCTAAATTTGGTACTAAATAGATGTTATTTCCTCTTTCATTCCTTCATGAGATATGAGGCTAACATTTTGAGGGAGGTCATTAGTCTGAACTCTGCACAGTTACAAGATGTGCTATCCTTGTGATTACATCATAGAATGTTTGGATGGAAAGGGCCTGAGGTATCATCTTTGGGTCTAACTTCTCTTTTTTCCCCATAGCTTTATTAAGGTATAATTGACAAATAGAAATTTTATACACTTAGGGTATACAACGTGATGATATGATATATGTATACATTATGAAGTGATTATCACACTTAATTGCCATTTGTGTGTGTGTGTAGTAAGAATAGTTAAGATCTAATTTCTCAGCAAATTTCAAGTATACAATAATTATAGTCACCATGCTGTACATTAGATAACCAGAACTTATTCATCTTTTTTTTTTTTACGTTCTTGCCCTTGTCATATATTTTATTGGCATTTACAACAAATAGCTAATAGTTTTAGCACAGATTCTCATAGTTTATAAACATTACTCCAAAGTTATAAAGCAATAACAATAAACATATACCACCATTTCCCCTTGAAATTTCTAACTTTAAATATAAAGCCCAAAATGGTAAGTCAGAATTAATGCATCCTCCATAATTTAGCAGAATGGCTCAGAACTAAACAAATTAACTGGAAACATTGCATAGGACAGAGAATGTCCCTGTATAAAAACTGATCTATGGATTGTTTCTTATCCCCTGAAGACTAAGCTGAGAGGTACAAGTAATAACAAACGATGCACATTCTTTTAAGGAAATAAAAACATCTCTAGAATAGTTTATCATTACTTGTGTGAGAGTGTGAAATGCCATATTAAATTCAAAAGAAACTGATTTACTTGTTCGTATACGGAACTTGTCTTATAACTGAAAGTTCATACTCTTTGATCAACATCTCCCCATTACTCTTACCCTCTAGCTTTGAGCAACTACTGTCTGCTTCTACGAATTCAACTTTTTCAGATTCCATATCTAAGGGATACCATGCAATATTTATCTTTCTTTGCCTGGCTTATTTCACTTAGCCTAATGTCCTCCAGGTTCATCCATGGTATTGCAAATGGCAGGATTTCCTTTATTCTCATGGCTGAATAATATTCAATTATATATACAATGGATGACAAGGATATTTAAATAAATGCAGAACTGTCGGGTAGCATCCTGTGTTCAGTATCATTCCTCTCATTCTCAGACATCTAATCTCTAGTCCTGGATGTGATCACTGAACTCAGAAAGTCAAGGCACTAGAAGACCTGGAGTCAGACAAAACCAAATTCTTTTCTCTCTAAGCTACAGTTATGAAGTCAGGAATGGGGACTCATATTTTAGAAAGTTTTGTAATAACAAGATCAAGCCTTGATTAACTAGAGAACTCAATCAGAATATACTATTTGGGGCCTTGCATATGCTTTCCCTATAGTCGGAGCTCAGTAAATGTGTGTTTATTATCTTAAGGATTATGGTCGAGACTGCACTACTGAAAGATCTACTAAGCCACAGCAATGTTTTCTTCCGCCCTCAGTCCTGTCTGCCTAGCTTTCCCTCACTGCTTTTCTTCACTGTTCTTGCATGAAAAGAGATCCAGGATGACAGGAAATGTGATGACTCATCTGACATCAGATCGAGTCCTTTTTATCTGCCCTTTTTGTTGGCCTCAGTCTCTGATATTGGGAACAGTCGTGTTATGTTTGTGAATGTTTTTATTTTACAGAAGACACATGGATTGCAGTGGGACTCTGATGATTTAAAGGTCTGATGCATGTGACTGGCTGATAGCTCTTTGTTTTCTACAATCCTTTGACTAGAAAAAGAAATCAAAGTATTTTAGTCATGCTGACCAGCAAGGGTCAGGGATGCCTTCACTTTGATTTGTGTCTCTGGTTGTGTATATTCATACCTTTCTTTAAAGGTAGGTTTTATTTCTGCTTTATCTCATATTCCCTTTTTAGTCACATGTATTTAGTCTTCTTTTCTAGTTGTGCTTGATTGAGCAGAGAGATGAAATAGTCTGTGAGTAAATAGGTAGAGTATCTGCACAGGAATTGCTATTGTTACAACTGTTAATCTGTTGTTTATTGATTAGGTTTAACATGTAAAATGGGATTGGGGGTGAGGTGGGGAGGACAATAAAATATTTTAAATCATATTTTATTTTATTTTCCCAATTAAAATATGGTAATAATAATGATGATGCAGTTTTCTATTCATCTCTGCTATGCGTGTATTCAACTTATATTTTTATATTTGTATTTAATATTTTTTTCAATTATTTGTTAGCTGATACTATTACTCAGGCCACAAATCCTTTTATTTTGTAGGTAATCATCTTTGTTTTGAGAAACATGTCATATTGCTATGCTGAAATATGTCCTAAGAGTAAGAGCATTCATTTTAAAAGTTAAGACTTAGAAACAGACAACGGCTGCTCTGCCTGAACAAAACCACATTTCCATGTGCTGTTGGCTTTGCAGGAGACTTGTTCTCAAGATTCACGGAGAGTTTATCTAAAATGTCTCAAAGGAAAAACAGTGTCTCAAAAGGGGGGAAAATGGGTAATGGGGAGGATTTCTTCATAGTCTGTTTTATTTCAAAATATTTATATCATTATTAATTATGATGGCAAGAATGCTATTTTATGTTTTAAATTGTTCTTTCCTGCAAAAAAATATGTCTCCAAATGCATTTGTCAAACAACTCTTTCTCTTTAGTAATATAATACCTGTCCTTTTGTTCATTTTTGCCTAATGAGTTATTCAATCCCTGTAACTTTTTTCATTCAGGGTGTAAATCCCTTTGGGAAAGTTGTAGAATAATATTTCAGGTGTCAAATTTGAATTCTATATGGGAAAATATGAGAGAGAGATTAACGAAATTAATTATGTCAAATAGAAGGCAAGTAACCTACTTTTAATGCATTCTTAGAATAATACGAAGAGATATGCATTAAACTATTGTGTGAAATTTAAGGACTGAAAATGCTATTATTTTAGATCCAATTTTGAATTATTTAAAAAGCATTTTAAGTAAATTTGCCTTAAAAACCTTGCACTCTCACAAATCCAATATAATTGAATTTCAAAGTTAATTTTAAAAAGGGGTATGGCTTATTAGGACCTTAATGAAATTACTAGTTATTTCAAATTGCTTGGTGAAGATTCCCCAGCTAAACACCCTACTAGTTGTAGGCACATGTCAGTTGGATCAGTATTTTGACAAGAAAAGACAAGACTCTTCCTTCATAACTGGATCAGTAAGATTGTGAGTGTTCTTACCAACAGTATTTTATTTGATGATATCACACTAGTCCTGAGACATAGGCATTATTATTTTTATCTTGGATGCCCACTGCCCTCACTCTGTGATGGAAGCTGCCAGAATCTCCCCACCTGCCAGCACCCTCTCTCCTTCTCTAATTCTCCCCTGTGTTCGGCCATGCAGACTGTGCAGCCTGTGCGTCTGAAGAGAGACTCTTTCACAAACTGTTTTCTCATTATAACCAGTTCATCAGGCCTGTAGAAAATGTTTCTGATCCTGTCACAGTGCATTTTGAAGTGGCCATCACACAGCTGGCCAACGTGGTAAGTGCCTCAAGTTCACCACATGTACCTCAAGAAGCCCTAAGTCTGAGGGGGTCAGAGCAGTTCTCAAACATTGTCTCACTTATTGCATGTGGTAAATATGGAAATCAAAAAAATATGAATAAACAAAAATCTACATGGCTGCTGGCCCTTCGAAGCTGTCTGGTTGGGAGGGAGACACTTTCCCCATCGATGCTGTAATTAGTCACATTAAGGCCAGGTGTTTTGGGAAGTGCTTTTAGAACCAATTTATGAAACAAAGAGGTGAAAGAGATGTTGAAGAGAGGTTAGAAAGAGAGCTAACTTCACTGTGCACCTATTATGCACCAGCCACCATGTCTACACTTGTGGCTATCACTTGCATTTTATAGCTGAAGAGCCAGAAGCTCAGTTAACCAAATTTTCCCAAGGTCATACAATTACAAAATGGTGAAACTGCGATTTGAATCAGCCCTGTTTAACTGCTAAGCTCATGCTTTTTCTACAGCATAGAAAAAGAATTGCTTTAAGACTTCTATGTTACGGAAGAAAGAAAATTATTTTAACTTATTGCTACTATGTTCGAGGGCAAATAGGACTAGAGTCCTTTCTTTCAAATACTCTTCATGCCTTAGTTGCTGAGAAAGGAGGTGGTGGGGTCTTGGTGCTCTAACGGAGAGCAGGGTTCTGGGCTTTAAGGCATGGGAGGAGAATAAGGCTGGCCCAAGGCTTGGGATTTGAACCAAATTCCAGGAATAGAGTCAGGCTGAGGAAGTAAGGGAAGTTTGAAGCATCTCCAGAGAGGGATGTTAGGGAGAGTTTTTGAGACAACAGTGCACAGAAAGAAGAGCCCCTTTCATCATATCAGTCCCAGCACATGGATAAGAAAGAAGCCCTCTTTCTCCTAGACTTTGCCCCGGGTGAAACAGTGTGACTCTCTAGGTGTACTTGGGGAAAGATCTTAATTATAGATGAGAAGTCAGAGCCCACTGTATTTCTGCAGTCTATGCTTCCCAGTGGACTAGGCTGACTCTGGCCTGGTCCTCTAGCTTCTGGCCTAGGATGAAAGTGTGTATATACTGATTAAAAAAAAAAAAAAAAAAGACTACTTTTGTTGACCTTTTAAAACCCTGAGGCTTACCATGACTTGACACAAACCCATTTGTAGAAAGAAGCTTGGCAAAGTCTCTAGTTAGAGTTTTCAGGCGGGAGTTGGAGAACAGCAGAGCCAGAGCAGGCTGATGTCTTCCCGCTACAGTTGGGCTCATTTACTCTGGACAGTGCCCATGTGTCTTGGGAAGTAAGGTTGGTAAGTTTAGGGAACCCACTAAGTAACAATCGATAAATCTCAAGAGATTGTGTTGTCAGGCTCTTGAAGGCTCTGGATATGTCCTCAGTCGCTTTCCCACTGAGAGCTGGTAGCTGCTTATGGGCACATTATATTTGGAACATTGGCCTGGAATGCTTTTCTTCCAGACAACCGTTTGGTTGTCTTCAGGTCATTTGGTACCTGCTTAAACTACTTCCTCAGAGAAGCCGTCTTAGTTCATTTTTCTAAAACAGAGTGTGTGCACGTGTCTGCAACACACACACACCCCTCTCCATCCCTCTTCATTTTTCATCATAGGACTTATCAGTGTCTTACATTATATATCTATTATAGATTTTTTTCTCCCCTACTAACAGCTTAGACACATAAAGGTAAGAAGTTTTTCCATCTTATTTACTGCTGTAGTCCCAGCGTTCATAGAGCACCGAATAGGTACTCAATAAATGTGTAATGAACGATTAAAGCAATCAGCAATGGTTTGGGTGGGAGTGGAGGATGTTCTGTGGGGGAAGTGGCAGGTTCCAGCCAGAAAACTCCATGATAAGCTGAGACTGACATTTCAAAGCGCAACCGAGCTCGGGACTCAGAGCCTAGAAAGTGCTGAGGCACTATCGAGGAAGAGAAGTTTTCAGGGAGTGGGGAAGAGGACAGTCAAAACAATGGACCGGGTTCAGATACCTACCTCCACCTGCGGTATTTCTCCTCCCTTCTTACCACTCTCATCTCTTCCTTCTTTCCTTTCATGGAATCAGAAAACTTTATGGGCTTTGGTGATCAGAAAGACTTCACAGAAGTGGTGAGACTTAAATCAGATTTGAAAGACAGTCTTTAAGCCACACTTCCTTTTAAAGTCAACAGGGTTAAGACCAGATTTGGAAATATTGCATATCTGGTTGCTTTTTATAAGCTGCCTCTTCGGTCTTTTTTATTAGCATATATATTTGAGGCTAATAATATTGTTTCTTCTTCACAGGATGAAGTAAATCAGATCATGGAGACCAATTTATGGCTACGTCATGTATGTGTCTATAACACGTGTCCTTCTTTTGGACCTGTGTTACTTTTGTGTTAGCCCAACAATGCCTAGTGGATAAAATCTGCTAGCATTCTCTCTTTCCATCTCCATCTTATGCTAAAGCTTAAATATTACCTATCTCCAAAGCTTAAAGTTCAGCTTTGGTAATAGCTGGCTTGATATAAACTCTGCAGATGCAGAAACCTAGTGACAAAGTTCTCTGGGACATAGAGATCCTCCTTTCCAGTGTCTGCTCTCAAGTCTTCTATTTTTATCTGTAACTTGAGCTCCAGAGCCCGATGCTTGCCCAGTCTTTGATCCTGCTGCACCAGGCCTAGGGAAGTCAGTAGTGAGCACAAGAGCATGTGGGTTAGATTCCCACCAGCTGGTTTAATGTTATACCATCTTTTACTTTCTTCTTGTCTTAATCTTTTACACAGATTTTGTAAAAAACTCATCATCATACACTTGACTTATCTTTTTAATATTAGAAATGAGTTGCTACTCCAAGGTGAATATATTCCATGGAACATGAAAGTTGAGCCTATAACCTTGGCCAGCTAATTAATAATAGACAATTATATGTACTATCCATTAGGTAATTTATATTTTCCAAAACCAGCTCAGCTCCCTAGCTCCCTATTCTCTGTGGATTTAATCTCCCAAGTTTTGATACAAACCAATAAACTCCTCAATTAGGAATTTAATTTTTCGAAAAAACTGCTGAACGAATATAGAGTTAACATTGGAAGAAAATTATTAAGAAATTTTTTTAAAAACAGACTCCTATTTCCTTTAGATCTGGAATGATTATAAATTGCGTTGGGACCCAGTGGAATATGATGGCATTGAGACACTTCGTGTTCCTGCAGATAAGATCTGGAAGCCGGACATTGTTCTCTATAACAAGTATGGGTGCTTGACAGCACTAGTCTCTTTCCAAAGGTGCCTTTGGTAATGCTGACCCATAGCAAAGGGGATGATACTAATAGTGTCCAATTTATGTTACAGCGCTGTTGGTGACTTCCAAGTGGAAGGCAAGACAAAAGCTCTTCTTAAATACAATGGCATGATAACCTGGACTCCTCCAGCTATTTTTAAGAGTTCCTGTCCTATGGATATCACTTTTTTCCCCTTCGATCATCAAAATTGTTCTCTAAAATTTGGTTCCTGGACATATGACAAAGCTGAAATCGATCTTTTAATCATTGGATCTAAAGTAGATATGAATGATTTTTGGGAAAACAGTGAATGGGAAATTGTTGATGCTTCTGGTTACAAACACGACATAAAATACAACTGTTGTGAAGAGATATACACAGATATAACCTATTCTTTTTACATTAGAAGGTTGCCCATGTTTTACACTATTAACCTGATCATTCCTTGTCTCTTTATTTCATTTCTAACTGTGTTGGTCTTTTACCTTCCTTCTGACTGTGGCGAAAAAGTGACACTTTGCATTTCAGTTCTGCTTTCTCTAACTGTGTTTTTGCTGGTAATCACAGAAACCATCCCGTCCACGTCACTCGTGATCCCCCTGGTGGGTGAGTACCTACTGTTCACCATGATCTTTGTCACCCTGTCTATCGCGGTGACTGTGTTTGTGTTGAACATACACTATCGTACCCCAACAACACACACCATGCCCAAGTGGGTGAAGACGGTTTTCCTCCAGCTGTTACCCAACATCCTAATGATGAGGAGGCCTCTGGACAAGACAAAGAAGACAAATTCTGATAAGAACCCCAAAGGCACTTCCAGTAGGCCTGCCAAAGTCAAGTTTGATAATCGCAGAGAGCCCGAACTTCTTAAAGAATGCTTCCACTGTCATGAATCACATCAGCTTGCCACCAGCAAGAGAAGATTAAGTCATCAGCCTTTACAATGGATGACAGAAAATTCAGAGCATTCGCCTGAAGTCGAAGATGTGATTAATAGTGTTCAATTCATAGCAGAAAACATGAAGAACCAAAATGAAACAAAGGAGGTAAATGCATGTCCCCTTAGCCTGTCCACCTGCAGCAGGCCTACAGGCACTTTGTAGACATGGTCATATCTCCAGTGTAAGTTCTGTTTACAAGAGGGTCAGGCAGCATTACTTTAAAATCCAGTTGTTATTGTGCAGTTATGGGTGGGCTGACCTGGGGTTGAGTGAGATGTAGCCCCAGAGCAAATCTCCACCTCCAGAAATGTTAACTCAATTGGAATGTGGTTAATATAAACATTTGAGGAGACCTTAGTTAATGAAATCAAGAGCTCCTGCACAAGAAACAATGGCAAACAAAAAGGTGGAGAGGGAAAAGCTGCCCCCGGAGAAGGCGGAGAAATGATTGCACTGCAGCTTGCGGTCTGAGAGCCGTGGGAGGAGGACGGGAACAAGTCCTCCCACAACTCCAGTCCCACTTGTTCTACTGGAGAGGGACTTAGGTGCTGATTGAGCCTTGGATATATCAACATATTCTGCTCCTGCCACCCTCTAACTATAGAGTCTAACTATAGCGGCATGGACCTCTCCCATCCTCTAAAAAGAGCTCAAGAAAATCACACTAGTTTTCCATACCATAAGGGTAACTGGCTAAGGGCATCTGAAAGCTCATGACAGGTGTCTGGTTTGACCTCGCACTGCAGCTGCCAGATCTGTATCTCTTAGCAAAAGTATATTGAGACCTAACATCTGCCTTATTGGTACAGGGGAAGATACTATGACTGCATGTCACACACAGGGGGTAAGGGATGCATCACGAGATAAGTGAGCCCAGAACCCACCTTCATGGTGACATATTCATAAAATCTACAGGAAAGCTGCTGTTGATTAGTCACCACCAGGTGGGACTCTCAAGACACAACCAGAGAGACTTCGGCAGAAGGTTATAGGTCAGGAACGTGAGAATAAAATGAACTCTCCATAAGCAGCATGACCTTGAGGTCTAAAAGTCTGCCTGTTCCTAATAAGGGGTCCTCCCTCATATTGTACTTCTCACCTCAAACCTATTTCCCTGACTTGCCAAAGGGTCCAGTATAAAGTGGTGTAAGTGATAAGAGTTTCACTTTCTGGGAGTGCTTCTTTCAGTTAGGAAAGGTCCTTTGTGACCCACAGAATGCTGGCTTATTGAGATCTGTGTGCTCTGTAGCCCACTGCACGAAGCACTAACAGGACTCATGCATCCGCCCTCTTCAGATGAAACAAAAGTTCTTCTGTGTGCTATATAGGAGACACAGGTTAACCAGAATAATACCAATATTTGCTTTAAAAATTTCCAGGAAAATCTTTGAAAAGTAAGAAGCTTATGTATAAAATAGAACATATTTCCTATGGTTTTAATTTTTTTAATTGCTTTGATGTTTTGTTTGCCTTTCAGGTAGAAGACGACTGGAAATATGTAGCCATGGTGGTAGACAGAGTGTTTCTTTGGATATTTATAATTGTCTGTGTGTTTGGAACTTCAGGGCTATTTCTACAGCCGCTGCTGGGGAACACAGGAAAGTCTTAAGGATTTTATCTTCTGAATCTTACAGATGCTATGTTTGTTCTATGTTTCCTAAAGCAAGGAAAGGGATCTAAAACTTCCCATCTAGGTCTCCCATCTACTGAAGCCAATGACTAGATGGAAAAAGAGGACTTTATCGCAATTTAGGAGGCTGAATGTCCTTTGTAGCACAGAGGAGTACTTTGAGGTGTGCTATAACACTGGAGCCAAGAGCGGGTAGCACCCACAGACTTCCCTCGTCTGAATACATTCAGCGTCCAGAGACACAATGATCCATAATACAGCAAACTATGTAATCAACATCAAGCCACACTAAAAGGGATTCTGTACTCCCTCCAGTTTATGCTGCTGGTCAATATAATGACATGAAACTCTGGAACACAGATCTTGCTGATATTTGCAACCCTTGTAAACTTTATAGACTTGATTTCTTATGCATGTCTCTGTGATGTAGCTCACACTCGTGCATTATCTGATACATTCATTGGCACAATCTCAGCAGGCTCAATGTAGTTCGCATTCATCTGACAAGAAACTCAACTGGTAACCCAGCACTGTGCTCGGCATTTCAAAGATAACAGAAATAGGTTCTGTCCGCAAGCACTTGTAGCTTTTTAGGAAAAGTCATAAACATAAAGCTCTCTAGGACCAGGTATCACGTGGGGAATGTAACTAGAGCAATCTAGGAGAACACGATGTGGTGTGTGTGGCGTGGCAAGGCAACCTGAAGCTACCTTTGTGGTCTTTCCTCGTTAGCAGTTTCCATTTGTTCATTGTATCTGAGGCCGAAAATAAAATTATTTCTTCTCTGAGAGATTGTGATCTTGTACCTTTTGGAGCAATTCCTTTTCTGAGAGGGAGCATCTGGGAATTCTGTTTTATTCCACTCTATTATTTTCTTGCTTGTTGTATTAAGATTATTATAACATTAAAAAGATGTATTTTAAAGCAGAAAAAAATCTGCCCTAACAAAGAAACTCATTTCATTTTCGCCTTTTCCTTTCTATGCCTTGTCTATATGCACTCGTAACTTTACACTTCAATTTTACCTTTCAATTTCTTATTTTGCTGTTTTCTTAAAACACCATATTAGCAACATTTCTCTGGGATTTTACATAGTCTTGAAATATAATTTTTTGCATAATCTCCATTGTGTTGATACACCATAACATCTATTACCACATGTTAATTCTTCCTTGTCTATTTCATACTGGAACATAAAGCACTGGGTGGTACACCAAGCAGAGGTCTTGAATTTGAATTACTCTGTTTTAAAGTTATTTTTACTCCTCTAATATTCGTATTTGAAGTACTTATATTTTATCTTTCTATCTTTACAGAGAGTTGCTTGTTACTTGCTAGATTTTTTTACTATTAAACCAAATCAGTATTTAATTTTTTAAAAAGTTTTAATTGTAGTTAAAAACACATAGCATAAAATTTATTATCTTAACATTTTTAAGTGTACAGTTCAGTGGCATTAAATACATTCACAGTGTTGTGCAACTATCACCACTATCCATCCACAGAATTCTTTCAATCACGAAATTTAAACTCTGCACACATTAAACAACAGCTCCTCATTCCTCCTCCCTCAACCCCTGGCAACCGCCATTCTACTTCATCTCTGAATGTGACAACTTTAGGTGTCTCGTATAAGTGGCATCGCACAATATTTCTCTTTCTATAACTGGCTTATTTCACTTAGCATAACGTCTTCAAGGTTCATCTGTGTTGTAGAATGTCAGAATTTCTTTGCCTTTTAAGGCAAAATAATATTCCTTTGTATGTATATACCATGTTTTGTTTATCCATCATCGGTGGAAACTTGGGCTAGGTTGCTTCCATCTTTTGGCTACTGTGAATAGTGCTGCTATGAATATGAATGTACAAATGTCTCCGAATCACTGCTTTCAATTATTTTGTATATATACCCAGAGGCAGAATTATTGGATTTTGTGTTAATTCTATTTTTAATTTTTTGAGAAACCTCCATACTGTTTTTCACAGTGATTGTACCATTTTACATTCCCATCCACAGGGCTCTATTCTTCCTTCACATCCTCTCCAACACTTGTTATTTCCTAGCTTTTGATAGTAGCTGTCTTAATGGGTGTAAGGTACTAACTTGTGGTTTTTATTTACATTTCCCTAATGATTAGTGATGAGCATCTTTTCATGTGCTTATTGACCATTTGTATATCTTCTTTGGAGAAATATGCATTCAAGTCCTTTGCCCTTTTAAAATTAGGTTGCTTTTGTTGTTATTGTTGTTAAGTTGTAGGAATTTTACATATTTTCTAGAATGTTAACCCCTGTCGACATAAGAAACAATCAAATCTGTAGAGAATTTTAATGAATTTATTTGAGCCAAACTGATTTTAACTACCTACAATCAAAATCTCAACAATTAAGAAAATGTTCCAGAGAATGGCAGTTTTGCAGCTTATTTTATACATTAGAATCAAAGGAGGGGGCATAAGGAGGGTTCATTGGTGGTAGATTAAGAGGACTGGAGAAAGCAAAGTGGGGAAATCCGTGGGATTGGATAAAAAGTAAAATGGAGAGACTTATTTCTTTTACAATGGTGGGTACAGGATAGTCAATACTTAACATTTACAGCACATAAAGATGGTATGTGGGGAACAAGACAACCATGAGTTCTGTGGTCTGAGCTCTTGTGCATTGGGTTGTACCCTGAGGGGTCTGGAAAAAAGGGATCACTGACATTCCAAGGGTATGTTATCTTAGAGGCAAAAAGACAATAGACAGACTCAGTTAAGGTAAAGATTGACCTTTGTCAAGAAAGCTACAGCCCCCAGATGTGACTACCTGTCATGACTCACTTTTAGTTAGGAATTTGTAGGTTTAGACCATCCTATGTGGTTACTTTCAGTTTCCGAATTTATAAGGCCCACCGTGCAGGCCTCCCCTGAGCTCGTCAGGTTTAGTAAGTGGCCCCTTTTTCATCCATACCCCTTAGATATTAAAACAAGACTTAAGAATTGCAAAACAGGAAGATGGGTGGAAACCTTGATTCTGACTTTTTAGCAGATTCTTCTATATCTGAGGTGGGCATAAGTCAGACTTCCCAGCCCAGTTTTCCAGGAGTCTCTCAGTGATCTTCAGGGGCAAGAGGACCTTGTACTCACCAGTAAACAAACTAACAGCATACATTTAAAAAGAAGTGAAAGAAGCATTTGAATAAAAGGGGAGTTACAGCGTTTGTGCAGAACAAAGGGAAACAAGGATTGAAAATTTGTAAAAGGTCACAAAGGGAATAAAACATTAACAATCTCTGTTAACTGAGATTTTTAATTTTTAGCACTGACCTGAAATTCTCTTATTTGTGATTTAATTATCACTATCTGTATCTGTGTGTACAAGTGTGCACTCTTGTGAATGGAGGTATCTGTGTATCTGAACTATAGAATTGTGATTTTTAGGGATGGAATAGAACTCAGACTATTTAGCTTAATTCTTTTTTTATCTCAAGTGGTAGAGCGGCTTGCCTATGATCACATAGATGACAAATTCAACTTTAGAACTCACATCTCCTGACTTTTGAACCATTTCCCTGACCCTTGAGAATAGAAAAGATAAACAAACAAACAAACAAACAGTAAATCAACTGAGATGGCCTATCTTCTCTCCTCCTGATCCCCTACCCCCCACACACACCTTATGAAACAAGGGGAAAGAAAGCATGTTTCACTGTCAATAGTTCAATAGTCCGAAGGAGGAAGAAGTCTTTGAAATGTAAACCAGGTTAGAGAGGTGAAGCAATAAATGCTCTTATTTTAGGAAGGTCAGGAGTACTAGCAGTGTCAACATTTATTTTAAGTGGGGCATGGAATACTAATAGCTCATGTGGACTATATATGAGTCTTCAGAATGAGATCAATCATTGCTGAGTTGAATAGCATGCATTTTGGGGACTATAAGTCACGGATCAAAGCAGAAGAATTTTTCCTCCCTAACTGCCCCATCAGTTCACAATTCTTTTGGCTGAGGCAGCACAAAGTGGGCAGAGAAGAAAAATCTTTGATATTACATGATGCTGAAGTGCAAAGAGATTGCTCCACAGGTAGAGGGGTCATCACCCAGAGTTTACAGGAGCCAAATTGGAGTGGTGTGCTCATGGAAAGGCTGATTTGCCCCCACTTAGCTCAAATTGATTGTCATCATGCTGTATGCTGAAATTGTAGGTTTGGGTACTAGATCTTCCACTTTTTCAAGAAAAGTGAAAATCCAGCTTTTTATGTAAAATCTTTTAGTTTCACAATGTGGTAGCTAAAGAAACAAAAATGTCTCTGTGTTAGCTAAACAGAACCTGGGTACAGGACCATGAGTTTGCAACCTCTAACTAAATAAACCGAGGCTCAATTCTTTCTGTTAGGTGAGGTCATACAAGATGGGGGCAAAGTCAGGGTAAATGGAGGTGCAAGAGGTGGGAGGAAGAAGATGTCAACTCTGAGAACCATGGAGGCACCATCTGAGGGCCTAGAGAATATAAACTTGGGATGTCCCCACTATTGAAAAATAATATTGACTAGGTGTTTCTTCACCAAAAGGATTTATCTGGGGAAAAGAATTGCAACCCAGAGCATGCAACATGGCGAGCCACGTCTTGGCCTGCATGCCAAGTTGGAGGGATATTTATATAAAAGAAAAGGAAGTTAATGAAAGGGAATTTAGAATTACAGACCTTTATTATAATCATAGTTTTTCCTTAGGGTTCTTGCAATTTTGCAGAGCCAGAGAAATTTCATAAGCCCCAATTTCTCCCATAGACCCTCCCAACTAATTATGTTTTTTTAAAGTTCCAATTCATCTTTATCACCACCCAGTCCCATCCTCCCCCAAGGCCTGGGGCATGCCTCTTATGTATAGTGAGGGGATAGAGCAGTAAGAATGGGGGTACAATATCTGAGCATCCATCCTTTTAACTTTGGAACTACCATCTGAACCCTTCAGCAGTATCAGCCATTCTTAACTGGAGATGCTATTGCACCCTGTTTACACAATTGTGTGTGTGTACACACACACATATACATACATACATGCATGCATACATATACACTCCTTCTAGTTGGTGCTTGAAAATGTCTAAGGGCATTTTTGGTTGTAACAATGACTGGGGATACTATTGTCACATAGGCCATAGGGATGGGATGCTAAACATCCTGCTTTGTGTGAGACAGACCAATGTAGAATTTTCCCTATCAAAATGCCCATAAGGTCCCCTAAGAAAAATTAGACGGTATTAGTTTGGAGCACAGGCACCTACTTAGCAGGCTCGTTGAGGGGCAGCCAC